GGGGTGGGGGAGGTGAGAAAGCAAGCCACCAGATCCAGGACTTGAACTGTGATTGACCATTTGGGAGTACAGAGCCCTTAACCACCACACCACCTGCCAGCCCCATGCCAAGATTTTTTTTGGGGGGGGAGAGATTTTTGTTATAGGGCGCGTGCGCTCGCCAGACAGAGACAGAAAGCGAGAAATCGCCCCCTAGGGGGGATGGCCATGCTGCAATCCCTTCTCCTCCATTCTCCTCTCGGGATCTTGGGCAGGCACGCACACGCGCCTGGCGTGAGTTTAAGCCACCGGGTCCGGGACACGAACTGCGGTTGACTACGTGGGAGTCCAGCAACATAGCCATTACACTAACTGTTGGTCCCAAGATTTTTAAAAATTTAGTTTAACTAGGGCACATGCACTCACGAGACAGAGAGAGAGAGAGAAAGCTACCAGGTCCAGGAATTGAACCTCAGTTGACCGTGTTGGGAATCCAGCACTTTAACCACCATGCTACCCGCTGACCCCAAGATCATGCCAAGATTTAAGAGCAAGGAGTTTGTCATTTGAAGAGTACTTTCAGTGTAGTAGAAAAAAGGGGCAGAAGTTAGACAAATATGTTGAGAATAGGAAGTAAGGAAATTCAAAGAGTAAACATCAGTAGCTCTTGGACATTTTATTAGAGAGGCAGCCGTAAGAGAGGGTGCTGGCCAAGGGGTACGAAGTAGAGGAGAGAATAGAGTATTCGTCCCTAATTCCAGGTTCCTTGGGCATAGGATGATGTCCTGTGTAGCTGGGTTTGAGTACTGCCTCTCATCCATTCGTTAGAAAAAATTCCAGGGACCAGCCATTGGCGTAATGGCTATGTTGCTGAACTCCCATGTGGTCGACCATGGTTTGAGTCCCAGACCCGGTGGCTTGGACACACGCGCGCGCGTGCGTGCGTGCCCAAGATCCTGAGAGGAGAATGGAGGAGAAGGGATTGCAGCGTGGCCATCCCCACTGGGGGGTGATTTCTCGCTTTCTTTATCTCTCTTTTTGGTGAGTGCACACGTCCTATAGCAAAAACCTCTCCCCCCCCCAAAAAAAAAAAAATTCCACATCACAAGTTTCCTGAGGGCAGAAACTGTGATCTTTCTGGGACTAAGAAGATGGTGGGGTGGTTATGGCACTGGACTTTTACATGACCGACCACGATTAGAGTCCCAGACCCAGTGGTTTCAAAATCACACCAGGTGTGTGTGCATGCATGTCCACAATCCCAGGAGGAGAATGGAGAAGGGATTGCAGTGTGTGACCATCCCCTCTGGGGGGGTGATTTCTCACTTTCTCTCTCTTGCTTTCTCTGTTTCTCCCTTGTGAGTTCATGTGCCTTATGACAAAAATCTAAAAAAATGTTGTCTTGGTAATCTGTACTTGGCATATAGTATGCGTTCAGTAAATGAGTGTAGACTGAATTAGAAAGGATACCAGTTTCTCTTATTGAATTCAAAAATATTTTCCTTTTCTTTATAGATTAAGCACATGATGGCTTTCATTGAACAAGAGGCCAATGAGAAAGCAGAAGAAATCGATGCGAAGGTGAGATTCATTTTCTACTTTTTGAAGTTATTAGAGTCCCATGTTATTTTGTTTTGTTAAGTGCCATTACTGTTGAACTTGGTCAACACATTGCATAGGACTAATAATAGATCTGGGACCTAGTGGTTACGTACAAGGAGTGGCCGGATCTGGACAAAATGCAGGGAGTTGGAAGATCTAGGCAGAAACTTTTTTTCTTTTTAAGAGTTATTTTATTTAACTTAATTAATTTATTTATTTTTAACTTGACCAGAGAAGGACAGAGTGACTGAGAGAGAAAGAAAGAGAAAGAGAGAAATCAAGCCACCGGGTCCAGGACTCAAACCATAGTTGGCCATGTGGGAGTCTAGTGCCCTTAACCACCACGCCACCTGCCGGCCCCCGAGGCAGGAGCCTTTAAAGTAGATGTGGCCATTGGTCTAAGCTGCAGGGCAAGTGAAAGCTCTAAGGCATAACCTACTGTCGCACTACAGGCAGTGGGTTTTGAAAAAGAAAGCAGAAATAAGAAAGAACTATGGGCAAAGTTAGAAATAAGAGAGAACTGTGTGCAGGTTAGAGAAAGCTGAGCCAGTGAAAGCCAGGGGAGGCTTGTGTAGAACCACGAGCAGCAAGACCTGACGGCTGCAGTCGGTAACACCCGACTTCCCTTCCCTGTGACAGAAGGAACTCCAGAAGGGCTCAGTGCCGTAGCCATCTCCTCACAGACATCTGGCCTGCCCAAACAAACCCCACCTTTCTGTCTGTCTGTCCTTTCTTAGTCCACCGTGGCTCCCACTTGGGGTTCACATCCCCCCAAACGTCATAGGCCAAGGCAGAGGCCTTGGCAGTTAAGGCAGCTGGATCCCACATGGTTCATATCCCAGCCCTGTCAAGTTGGAAAACAGGCTGGGCACGTGTTTGCATGCCCAGAACACAAAAGGGTGGAGAAAAGGAGGAGAAGGGATTGAGTTCTCTGACGTCAGGGAGTGTCTTGAACCTCCCCAGTGTATGTAACCTCTAGCAACCAGGGAAAAGAAATAAAAACAACAGATCTATATGTCCAGTGTTGACGTTCCCCTTTCTTTTTGTTCTCACTGCCAGTAAGTGTCTTGATGTTTTTGGTGGGTGTAGGCAAGTAATGGATGAGTTAATTTTCTCACGGAATCCAACACTCAGATATTGAGCATGTGTGGCTAAATTGGAGGGTGCAGTATTCTGTTCTTGGTTTCTTTTTCTTTTCTTATTTTGTATTTATTACCTGAAAGAAAAGTTGGCGAGAATATAAGGCATAAAGTTGAAGCTCCCACGTACTGTGTGACATTGACAGTCCTTCACCATACATTTCCTTGGGGCTGGAGCACAGTGGCTAGCCTTGCACAGTGAACTGGATCTCACATGGCCCACCATGGTTCAGATCCCTCCCACGGTGGCTTGTGTGTATATGTGCCCAAGCTTCTGACAGGAAAAAGTGATCATGCCCCAGTGGGGGTGCTTTCTCTCTCCTCCCTCAGGGCAATTACTCACAGCTTTTGTTAATAAATACGTTTTTTAAAAAGAATTATTTTGTTTAACTTTGTTTATTTATTATTTATTTTAACTTGACCAGAGAAGGACAGAGAGAGGGAAGAAGACATGGAAAATGAGAAAGCAAACCTGGGAACCAGCAGTTAGCATAATGGCTATATCTCTGAACTCCCATGTACTCACCTGCGGTTCGAGTCCCAGACCCAGTGACTTAATGCCAGGCACGTGTGCGTGCGTGCCCAAGATCCCGAGAGGAGAATAGAGGAGAAGGGATTGCGGCGTGGCCATCCCCCCTGGGAAGTGATTTCTCGCTTTCTATCTTTCTGTGTCTCCCTGTCTTTCTGGTGAGCATACGCGCCCTATAGCGAAAACATTTAAAAAAGAAAGAAAGAAAGAAAGCCGCCAGGTCCAGGGCTAAAAGCGGTTCGGCCAAGTGGGAGTCCAGCGCCCTTAACCACAGTGCCACCTGTCGGCCCCATAAAAAATTGTAGATGTTTTCAGTTGTGCGTTGTTTATACCATTACTTACAACAATTTTTTTTTTGGAAAGGTTTTTGCTATAGGGCGCGTGCGCTCGCCAGACAGACAGAGACATAGAGACAGAAAGCAAGAAATCGCCCCCCAGGGGGGGATGGTCACGCCGCAATCCCTTCTCCTCCGTTCTCCTCTCGGGATCTTGGGCACG